TCACACACACACACACACACAACCATTGATAAATTACAACAACTGACTCAAACATTTAAAGCACCTGCTCCCTAGATTATTGCCTTAGTAGTCTCCCTGGCTTCACGTTCACCTCCTGCAGCCTATTCTCAAGTACCAGCAGAGTGATTTTCCTCCAGAGCTAGAAATCAAATAAATGCAGGGTCTTCAGATATGCTTGGCCATCTACACACTGAGACCAAGGCCAAAAATGATCCTTATAAAACATGTCAACTCCTTGACACCTCAACCCAAAGCAAACCATCTGCTTAAAAGTAAAATCCAAGCTGGGTGATGGTGGAGCACACCTTTAATCCCAGCACTCGGGAGGCAGAGGCAGGCAGATCTCTTCGAGTTCAAGGCCAGCCTGGTCTACAAAGCAAGTTCAAGGACAGCCAAGGCTGTTACACAGAGAAACCCTGTCTTGAACCTGCCCCCAATGGGGGGTGGGGGTGGGGTAGCTGAGTGGAGACAGATTTTTAGAATGGGATTTTTTTAAGATGAAGTAAAAGAGAAGGTTAACATGAGAAAGCATGTGTGTATATTCATATTTACCCTCAGATAGAGAAGAAATTTTAAGTCCTCCAATTCTCTGATGGCATTCTTTTCGATACCCTGGTGCAGTGCTGGGAGCTGCTGTGGTATCTGGCTGGACTGGAACTTGCTATGTAGACCAGTTGGCCTACAAGTCACAGAGCTCTGCCTGTCTGTGCCTTCCAGGTCCTGAGATTAAAAGCAGTATTATGCCCATGGAGCATGCATATACATATACATACATACATACATACATACATACATACATATATATGTTGTGTGTGTGTGTGTATGTATGAATTTATGTATGTCAGTCACTTATATATAAACTGCCAAAGTTGTTTGTTCAACAAAGAAAATAACACTTTATATGGTCAAAGACACAGGAATTAAAATAGGCACTGCTAAGAACAAACTGAGTAACATTTCAGAAGACAACCTGGCAAAGACATGTCAAACCAAAAACAACCGCACCTTCTAACCACCAATTTTTTTCAAGGAATTTCTTGCTGAATACCTGGCATGAGCCAGGTTAAATCATATTTTTTTTAAATCAGACCTAAAACATTAAATACTAGCTATCCATTAACGATATGGGCTTTCATATTATTTATATTTCTCTGTACTTTTTTAATTTGTGTAGTACATTACTCTAAATCTAAAGAATATGTCATTACAAAGACAAGTGTTTAACTCTAACAGTAGTTTTTCATGGGATAATGTCAAAGCCAAGCAGTGGCACTGTCTCACGTCACCAGGACTGGAGGAAGAACTCTATCTTTAAGTTGGAAAGAAACTCCCTAGGAAAATCCTGCCTCTCCGCTCACTCACCCCAGGGTATCTATTATATATTACAACCTATTGGTTAAGCGTCCATCCCTTGCTTGGGCTGGCTAAGGGATGGCATTTCCTAATCACCAAGGATGTACCAAAGCTCAACAGTGTCAACCTGAGAGGAAGCTGTTCTAATTGCTCTGCCGCCACCTGCATCAAGGACGGCCCTTTTTTCTTTGTCAGAAGAAATTGAAACAACTTTTGAGGTTCCCAGACAATAGATATGCCTGGTAAAGGTTCCTGCCATGCAGGCCTGATAAATCTGAGTTCCACCCCTAGAAAACATACATCATAATACACAATAATAACAAGCTTTATAATATATAAAATTAAAAAGAAATCATCCATGTAAAGACTGTTTATCTTCCCTCCTCTAGAGATGGATCATTTTGAAAATCTGAGGGTCCTTGAGGAACCAATTCTCATGTAAGTAATGTTTAGTAACTAATACATAAGTAACTGTGTTTTAAAATGACTCATTAGAATAAGTATCAATCACAGGAAAGGCATATAGATTCTAAATTGTTAATATACAAAAATCATACTTAATATAAAGATACCACTTTTCCGGGCAGGGCAGTATGACTCACTTTTCTAACTTGGAACCACTTTAACATCTGAAAGATTAGTGGTCAGAAAGACCTTGAGCTAACCTGAGTCACCTCCACAGATGAAATCACAGGTATTTGTGACAAATTGAGGATACTTGCCCTCTTTACTGCCTCTTCAACTTCTGTTTGCAGAACAGTACTTAAATGTGTGACAAAATGTCCAGGAAAACACCTGAGGTTTATCAAGCTCTAGAATTAAGACCAAAAACTACAGCTGGGCATGGTGGCACATGCCTTTGGTCCCGGCACTTGAGAGGCAAAAGCAGGTTGATCTCTGAGTTCCAGAACTGGTCTATGAAGCTTCCAGAATAGCCAGGTCTATACAGAGACTCCCTGTCTCAAACACAAACAAAAAAAGGGGGAGTGGGGATGTATGAGAGCACAAGCATGAGCACCCGAGTTTGACTCCCCAAGGCACGTGCTACAATAAAATTAGCTTTAAAAACTTCAAATCTATAATTCATTAACCTATCAGATTTGTGAATTATACAATGGGCATATTTGCATCGAACAGTTCCCTGCAAACTTCAACTTTCCAACACTGCAACTGATTCTTGTTTTATTCTTTCTTAGAATTTAATGTTGGATAATCTTTTCTGGGTGGCTGGAATGGTGTAGAAGCAGAGAATGTAGGCACAGAATCAAAGGTCTAGTACCCAGAAATTTCACCTTTCCGTGCCATGAGAATCCAGGAAAACATTTGCGAAGTGACATTACAATCCCCTCCACCCTTTGTCAAGACCACTCAAGTTCGCTTTACACAGAGTGAGTACATTACCTTTCTTTTAAAGTGACCTTGCCGTGCGTGTGCTGTTTGTTGGTGGGGACAACTCACTTTAAAACTCGGTAAATTTAACTGTACTTGGAATTGAAGTCAAACACTACCCATGGAGAGTGGTCACCCCTGAAAACCACCCTGCAACACCCAATGGTTTTCTCTGCCCGGACCGGTAGAGGGAGACTGAGACGTCTGGCCTGGTGGTGCAATGTTTCTGTAAAACTGGGGAGAGAGGGGGAGCGGGGACTGTATTTAAATGCCCTGCTGTCAATCAAAGGGTACTTCCTACCACCGCCGTCACCGACTCGGCTGCAGCTCCCCAGCGGGCTCTCGTCGGCATCCACCCTCCAACGGTGCCCGGGAGACCTGCCTCGCCTAAAGGGGACCGCGGGCCGGGCCCAGACACCCAAATAAAGACTTTGGGAGCCCAGCCCCAACTAGTTTCTTTGTTTAAATGCCTGCGGATCCCTCCCACGCCGGAGTCAAGAGGCTGTGGCGCCGCCCTTTATTAGCCTCACACTTTGATTACAAA